TGGGGCTGCAAGGGGTGGTCGTGTTTGTGAGGGCTGGCCTGGACGCAGCACAAGAACAAGCCACTACACAGCAGGCCAGGTGTCAGGGACAGAGGCCTTCCACATAGCTGCCCGCTGCTGCCCCTGTGGTGGGGTGCCGCTGACAGGCAGGGACAATATGGCCATTCATTCACACCAGCTGCTCCTGTCACTCACCAGTACAGACCCAGGGAGGAGAGTGGAGGAAATGCAAGTGTGGAGAGCAGAAAGGAGAAGGCAGCTGTGTGGTGTGAGTGCTGGACACCCATGTCGGGGGCTAAACTGGTGTGAGGCCACAGTCGACTGGGAGGGTTGAGACATCAGCTGCAGCGAAATGTGAACTTTTGTCACCTGGCTTGCCTAAGTCTGTAACAAAGCTAGTCAAATATTTCTAGCATTTCCACATACTCTTCACGGTTTTCCCCCAATGAGAGGCCAGCTAAGAAAGGTGGACACACCAAATACCCTCAAATGAGTTTGGTAGCAATTTGGTCGGTCATCAACCCCCACGATAGGGAGAGCTGCTGGGTCAGTTAGTCTGTGATCTATTGATAAGAGCCTTAGAGGAAGGCAGCAGAAAAGTGGCCATGCCTGATGTGTGTGACCTCGGTCAGTTATGGAACTGTTCTATGCGTCTGTTTTTTCACCTCTAAAAGAGACATACCAACGATTTTACCTGTGTTAAGGGAGACCTAATAACAAATATTCAAGCACTCACCTGTTAAGCAAAACATTTAGGTTCAAGTCAGTAGGAGAAACTTGTTTCTGATATGTTTCCATGAATGTCGTTGTTGTTAGTTGCCATCAAGTTAACTATGTCTCATAGTGACCCTGTGGTCGACAGCTCTGAGCGTTTCCCTATCCCGTGCCATCTGCATAACCTCTGTGCTACTCAAGCTCAGTGTGTAGTCACTGGGTCACTTCATCTCACTGAGAGTCTTCCTCTTTGGTGTACCTTCTCCAGATGGATGTCTCTCTCCAAGGAATATGGAGAATTCTCTTTCTCCTGAAAAATATACCCAAGTAAGTAAAATGAAGTTTCATCATCTTTGCCTCTAAGGAGCAGTCTAGTGCACTTCTTTCAAGACAGATTTATTCATTTGGCAGTTCAAGAGTGATAGCCAGAACCACAATTCAAGGGCATCAATTCTTCTTCTGTCATCTTTATTCATTTTCCAACTTTCAGATGCATAGAAAGCAATTGAAAACATAATGGCCTGGGTCAGAAGTACCTTAATCTTTAAACTGACATCTGTGCTCTTTAGAATTTTAGAAAGGACCTCAATTGTCCAATAAGTACTCAATGCAACAAGTCTTGATTGTGGATCCAAGATTCTTTACAACTTCAGTTTTGTCTCCATCCATCATGATGTGTCTATTTGTCCAGTGGTGGGAATTTTTGCTTTCTTGATGTTGAGATGTAACCCATATTGAAGGCTGTAATATTTGATTATTTGTAGAAAGTGTTTTAAATCTTCTTTAGTTTCTTTAGGCAAGATCTGTCATCTGCATAATGCTGGTTGTTAATGAGTCTTCCTCTTCATATGATCTAGCATCTGAATGATATGTTCAGCACACAGATTGAGTAGACATGGAGAAATAATACAACTCTGATATACACCTTTTCTGATTTAAACAGTGCAGTGCTCCATTGTTCTGTTCTGACAACTTTTTCTTGATCTATATATATGTTTTGTAAGGGCACAATTAAATATTCCCATTCTTCTCAAAGTTAGCTGTAATTTATTATTTCCCACACAGTCAAATGCCTTAGCATAGTCAATAAAACACAAGTAAATATCTCTCTGATATTCTTTGCTTTGAGCTATAAACGTTACACCTAGGAAACCCAGTGGGACAGTTCTACTCTATCCAATAAAGTTACTATGATTTGAAATCTACTTAAAGATACACAGCAACAGGAAGGCATGAGAAAACAGTCCTACTTATGAGAAACCAATGAGTCTCCGTGGACAGTAATTTGCTATATTTTTTTATAAAAGATCATCTAATAAATAATTTAGACTATGTACACTGTGTAGAACTCTGACAACCTAATGGTAAGAAAGTAGGAGACCAACTCAAAGGCACAATGGTCAAATCCACCAGCTGCTTCATGGGAGAAAAATGGGCAATCTTCTCCAAAGTGATCAATTGTCTCTGAAAGTCCACTGGAGGGTCTACTATTGTTGGTTCTAACTCAACAGTAAGATCTCTGTTGCATATTCTCGTTGGGTTGTTTTCTTTTGGGGCAATGTAAAGTCTTTTCTGACTCTAGTGATCAATGTAACTAAACCACCACTGCTAGTTCTGACTCCAGGCTTCTAGCACATTTTCAGGGCTGTAAATATATCTATGGGAGGAGACTACTTATATTTCTTCTTCAGAGAAGCGGATGGATTTGTACTATCAACCTTTGTGGTTTGCAGTTTGATGTATTTACAGACCACATCTTCTAGACCAATGTGCAACAGAACAACATACTGTCTAGTCCTATGGAGTCTTGACAATTGTTGTTGTATTTGAGTCTATTGTTGCAGCCACCATGTCAATCTATCTCATGGAGGGTCTTCCTCTGTTTCAATGGCTATCTACTTTACCCAACATGACTTCTTTCTTCAGGGATTGGTCACGTGTATGTGTGACACGGTGTTGTCATCTGCTCCTAAGGAAGATTCGAGCAGTACTTCCTCCAAGATTAGTTCGCCTGCTAGTTCACAGTACACTCAAAATTCTTTGCCAACACTGTAATTCAAAGTTGTCAATTCCTCTTCAGTATATTGTACACATTTTTCAGATTCTGCATGTGTATGAAGCAGTTGGAAACACCATGGTTTGGGTCAGGTGCACCTTATTCCTCAAAGTGATATCTTTCTTTTTAACACTTTAAAGAAGACTTGCAGTGGATTTACTCAGTACCTACTTCGTTTTCTTTTTTTAACTCCTTCTTCCCTGAGTACTTATTGTGGTTCCAAGTAAAATTAAATCCTTCATAACTTCACTATTTTCTCTGATTATTATCATATTATCATTGTGTTTTTATTTATGTGTTTTATTATATTATATTATCATATTATCATTATTATGGCATTATCATTATTGTTTATTGATTCAATAGTGAAGGTTATTTGTTTTCTTCATGCTGAGATATAATCTATTCTGAAGATTGTAGTTCTTGATCTTCAATAGTTAATGTTTCAGGTCTTCTTCACTTTCAGCAAGAAAGGTTTTGTCATCTGCCTATCTTTAGAGTATTAGAGAGTCTTCAATCCAGATGCCTGGTTATTCTTCTAACAATCTAGCTTTCTGGATTCTTTGCACATCATAAAAATTGCGAAAGAATAGGATAACGATACAACCTTGAAACCTTTGCTAATTTTAAACCACACAATATCCTCTTGGTCTGTTTGAATAATCACCTTTGATATATGCAGAGGTTAAGTATAAGGGCAAATAAGTACTTTGGGATTCCTGTTCTTTGCAATGTTATCCAGTTTGTTATGACTACATGGTCTAATGCCCTTGCATATTTAATAAAATAATTAAATCTTTCTGGTTTTCTCTATACTCAACATTATCACTTTGACATCAGCAATTGTGTGCCTTTTTTCACAACTTCTTCTGAATTAGGCTTCATTTTCTGACAGTTCCCTATCCTTACACTACTGCACTTTGTTATGATTATTATTATTATTATCTTCAGCAAAACTTTACTTGTGTGTGATGTTAATAACATCAATAATTTCTGCATCCTGTTGGATAATCTTTTTTGGAATGGATATAAATATGGATACCTTCATGAGCTGCCCTTTGAAATCTTCAGTTCAGGTTTCTTATTACATTATTTCTTTCACTGCAGCTTCTTTCCATTCAAGAGCAAGTTTCAGAGTCTCTTCTGAAATCCATTTTTATCTTTTCTTTTGTTCTTGTTTTTTTAAAAACTTTTTGTTTTGTGTACATTGTTGTTGCTTTTATGTGTCTTCAAGTTGCCTGAGACCCATATTCCCATTCTTCTCAAAGTTAGCCGTAATTTATTATTTCCCACACAGTCAAATGCCTTAGCATAATCAATAAAACACAAGTAAATATCTCTCTGATATTCTCTGTTTTGAGCTATAAACATTACACCTAGGAAACCCTATGTGCAGCAGCTTTGAAGCATGCCCTGTCCTGAACCAGTCTCACTGATTCTGACACACTTACTCACATTGGCCTAGTTACTGTATCAATCCATCGCACCCAGGGACTCCCTCTCCTGCCCTGTCCCTCTACCCTTCCAAGCATGATGTCCTTCTCCAAGGACAAATCCCTCCTGGCCATGTGCCCAAAGTATGTGAGATGAAGCACCTGTAAGCAAAACACTGCTGAAGATCATTCAAAAATTACCAGCATAGTACATAGACACGAAACTGCCAGAAGCTCAAATAGGATTTAGATGAGGCCATGGCACCAGGAATATCATTGTTATTATCAGATTTATCCTAGCTGAAAATACAGAATAACAGAAGAATATGTATTTATGCCTTATTGACTATCCAAAGGCATTTAACTGTGTGGATCATAACAGATTGTAGCTGACATTGAGAAGAATGAGAATCCCTGAGCTCTTAATTGTACTCATACAGAATCTAAACCTGGACCAGGAGGCTACTGTGTGAATAGTGCTAGGGAACACTGCATGCTTTAAAATTGAGAAGGGAAAGTATCAGGGTTGTATTCTCTCTCCATTCTTTTTTTTTTTACAGAGCAAGTTTTTTTTATTTTTATTTTTTTACGATTGGTGACAGACTTTATCAACATCAGAAGTTTGTTTTCTCATATGTCCTGGGAGGAAGGGAGTGATGCCACCCAGCTCCTATGAGAGGAAGCGTGGCCCCTGGTGGGGATCCCGAGTCCCATCCATCAGTGCAGAGTGGTTTCAGGGGCTCTGTGGGGGCCTCCCTAATTACTGTCTTTGATGTGAGAAGACAGCAGGAAAGGGCTCAGCCCCATTGGACGTTGGGCTGTGCGGGCCACCCTCCAGGCAGGGGTGCCCTCAGGGATGGTGGCAGCTCCTGGACCGGCGGCCAGCCCATGGGGTACTGGAAGATGGTGGTGCTGTCGGGTTCAGCCCTGGTACTTGGAACCGAGCTCAGCCGCTTGGCCCTCTTCTCCAGCCAGTCCTCCAGACGGACGTCAGGGAGCTCCACGGCATCTAGGGGCCACTCCTTGGCTCGCCTCTCCTCCTCTACCTGGAGGCTCAGCTCCTGAAGGTCTTGCCCGGACATGTGGGAAAATCTGCACTTGGAGCCAAAGTCGCACTGGCCGATCTGCAGAAACTTCCGGCAGGGTCTCTTGTTCTGTTCCTCAACCAAGATGGTGGCTGCATCTCGGAACTTGTCGTACCAGACCTTCTTGGCCTTGAGGTGCTGCAGCCCATTCAGGTGCTTCTTCCGGTTGTGAAGGCTGTCCTGGAAGGAGCGGTCACAGTAGTCGCAGAAGTATTGCTTCCCCATGGCTGCCTGGATGGCTCCGCGGGCCCGCGGGCCGGGTGGATGCGCTCCTCCTCCCGCGCCTTCGCGTCTCTCCATTCTTATTCAATCTATGTGCTGTGAAAATTATCTAAGAAGGTGGATTCTATTAAGAGGAGTGTGGCATCAGGACTGGAAGGACACTCATCAATAACCTGCATTATGCAGATGACACAACCTTGCTATCTGAAATTGAGGAGGACTTGAAGCACTTGTTCCAGCAGATCAAGGAATGCAGCCTTCAGTATGGATTGCATTTCAATATCAAGAAAACAAAGATTCTTACCACTGAATTAATAGGCAGCATCATGGTGGATGGAGAGGAGATTGAAGCTGTCAATGGTTTCATCTTCTTGGATCCACAGTTAACACCCTTGGTACGAGCAGTCCAGAACTCAGGAGATGCATTGCACTAGGAAAATTTGCAGTTGGGGACCTCTCCAAATTATTAAGGTAATCATATCAGTTTGAATACTAGCGTGTGTCTGATTCAGGCCATGGTCTTTCCGATTACTTGCTATGCATCTGAGATCTGGACAATGAATAAAGATGCCAGAAGAAAAATTGATGCCTTTGAGCTGTGGTATTGGAGAAGAGTACTTAACATCGCATGGATGGCCAAAACAACAAATGAATGTGTCTTGGGAGGGCACAGCTTGAGTGCTCTTTGGAGGCAAGAATACTAAGGCTTCACCTCACATACTTTGCGAATGTTGCTAGGAGGAGCTGTTCCTAAAAGAGGGACATGATGCTGGGAACGGCGGAAGATTGACCAGATGGATTGACACTGTGACTGCTGCAATGGTCTCTAGTGTATCAGGAAGTGTGAAGATGGCATAGGATAGGACAAGGTTCAGATCCACTGTTCATAGGGTCTCTATAAGTCATACTCAACAGCACCTAACAACAACAAGAAGAGCACCCTAGTCATATTTTGAATGCCTTCCAAAATCAGAGGCTCATCTCCCAGAACTGTCTTAGCAAAAATGTTCCACTTTTGTTCATAGGTTTTCACTGGCCATTTTTTAAAGTACTTTTTTTAGGTCTTCCTTCTTGGTCTGCCTTAGTCTAGAAGATCTGTTGAAGCCTAACACCATGGGTGACCCTGTTTGTATTTGACTCAACTCTGACATAGCTTCCAGCATCACAGCCAGACACAACACGCCACAATATGACAAATTGACAGATGATTTGTATTGTTTTATAACTCCTTTCATGTAAGGGGATTGAAGGGGCTTAGGGGTGATAGTGAAAGGGTAAGGATGGGTAGGGATGAAACCACAGAGTTGCACAATTTGCTGAGTGGAGGGAGTGGGTAAAGGAAATGAGAAAGATCCAACGGGGACTGGAAAAAACAGAGTAATGGTGGGCATAGTCCAACAGTGATTAATTTTTTTTTTAACAAAGAGATTGCCTTTTTTTATTTGTGGGTTTCCCATTTGGGAATAAGTGTGCAGGCTCTCTGGCTACTTCCTGCTGAACAGGAGCTTTGAGATGAAGGGGAAGAAGAACCTATTTTAACATTTTACTGGTGGTCTTGAGTTGAAACTGCATGCCTTTTTGTTCAGTTAGAAGATTTTCATGACATTTCCTGCCCTCTGGACTGCTGGGTGTTTGCATGGGTGAGTCCAGTGGAAGTGGCTGGGTAACTTTTGAGGCTCCATCTACCTTTGTTTCCTTAGCTGGCAGTTATATTTCCCTTCTATCTCTGGGACCTGGCTCAAGGTTCAGGTTCTGGAACAAGACTCATTCTGGCTTCACCCTCTCCAGGACAAACCTGTTTGTTCTCCTAGCAGTCCATGGTATATTCAACACTCTTCTCCAGCACCACACCTCAAAAGCATCAATTCTCTTTCTATCAACCCTATTCACTATCCAACTCTCCGATGCATAGCACATAATCGCAAAGACTATAGCCTGGATCAGGTGCACCTTAGTCTCCAGCCTGACGTCATTGCTCTTCAGTACTCTTGAGAGGTCCCTCACAGCTGACTTGCCCAGTGCAATTCGTCTCCTGATTTCTTGGCTGCTGTTACTAAGAGTGTTGACTGTGGAGCCAAGTAAACTAAAACTGTTAACTATCTCAATCTCTTCACCATCCATACTGATGCTGCCAATTGGCCCAGTGGTGAGAATCTTTGTTTTCTTGGTGTTGAGCTTCAATCCATATGGAGGCTGCAGTCCTTGACCCTCTGCAGCAAGGGCTTCAGATCCTCCTCAGTTTCAGCAAGCAGGGTTGTGTCATCTACATAACACAGGTTGTTGATGACTCTTCCACCTTGATTGCTTAATAATCTAAAAACTCTATATTGACCTTCAGTCTCATTTTGTCTTTTTTTTTTTTTTCCTCCCATGAAATTAATGAAAACCAAAACCAAACCAATTTTCATTTCATTTATTCCAACTCATGGCAGCTTCATGGAGTTCAAAGTAGAATTGTACTCCATAAAGTTTACAGTGGCTCTGGTGGCTTAGTGGTAAGGAGTTGCACTCTCAACCTAAAGGCACACAGTTCAAATCCATTAGCTGTTATGTGGACGAAAGATGGGCATTCTCCTCCTACGCAATTTACTGCCTGTGAAAACTCCCTGGAGGATCAGCTATGAGCTGGTCCTAACGCGATGATACAAAGAAACAGCAACAAAATTATGACTTTCAGAGTAGATCACCATGCCCTTTGTCTTGGATGTATTAGAACTGCAAACATTTTGGTTAATAGCCAAGCACTTAATCAATTGTACCATGCATGGATGCCAAGAGGACCACTGCTGTTATTTTTTGTCAAGTCAATTTCAATTCACAGCAACCCTATAGGACAGCACCCCATTGGGTTTCCAAGGCTTTTTAGTCTTTACAGAGCAGATCACATTATCTTTTCTCCCATGGAGACACTGATGGATTTGGATAGCTGACCTTGACTGACCTTGATGGACTGACTAGACCATCTATCTTTGCCAATGCTATCTGGTGTATCTCTTGACTACCTTAATTCTTGGGAAGACAGGGTAGAGGTCTTTTCTTGTGAGGACAATACTATTCATGTAAGAAACAATTAATGACTACAATAGCTCACAATTCTGTGTTTGACATTCTTCTTTGTGTCATGTTGTTGTTGTTGAGTATCATCAAGACAACTACAACTCATATCAACCCTATGAACAACAGATTTGAACCTTAGCCTCTCCTATGCCAGCCTCATGATTTCTGACATGCTCGACCCTATTGTTGAAGTTACTATGTCAATCGACCTTACTGAATGTTTTACTCTCTTTCTCTGACCCTCCACTTTCCCCAGTATGTAGTCTATTTCTAAGAATCGACCCCTTCTGATAACATGCCCAAAGTATATGAGAAGAAATTTCACTGTCTTTGCCTCTAAGGAGCACCCAGGCTGCACTTTCTCTGAGACAGATTTGTTGTTTCTTTGACAGTCAATGGGATATTCAGCATTCTTCACCAATACCACAAATCAAAAGCATAAATTCTTTTTCTATCATCCTTATTCATTATTCAACTTTCAGAGGCATCAGAAGCAACTGGAAAGAAACATGGCTGGGGTCACACCTTAGTCTTTTAACTGGCATCCTTGCTCTTTAGCCCTTTGGAGAAGTTTTTGACAGAACATTTTCCCAATGTAACATGTCTTTCTTCCATAATATCAGTGTCAGTTGCAAAGAGTGAAAGAAATTATGAGTGAAATTAACATAAACGTTAATATTTATAATGATGAGGGCAAATGGTTTCTGGTTTCTTCTGTCTCAGATGAGTATTCAGGTCTGTTTATCCCTTTGATGTCTTTCCCCTCTTTTTCTATAGTCTCTATCTGAAGAGCTACAGAAAGAACAGGAAATAGTAAAAAATTTTTATTTTATTCTGTCTGCTTGCCAAAGAGAAATGGTGGATTACCAACACTTTTCTACACTAGAAGAATTAAAGCATCCATAACCGAAGGAAAGGCAGTGTTGATCTAATAAACCCAGCCTTTATCAGCTCTATGTGGAAATATACTGACCGAAGTGTATTTTGCAACTAAATTCTTAGATATCGACCCGCTTTGTATCACCTTTCAAAATAGGAGAATATAGAGAAAGAGAAAGGTTGTGAGCTTTACAGTAAAATAACTAGTGTCTAGAGTGGAGGCCAGCATTGCAGACTTCTGATTTATGGTTCCATCTATTCCCAACCAAACCCTGTTGTTTCTAAGCCTTTTAACTGTCTTGTCAAGTATCTGCAAAGAAATCTAGTGATGCAGTGTTTGAGCTCTCAATTGTCAACCAAAAGGTTGGTGGAGGAAGATGTGTTAATCAATTTTCATGAAGGTAGATAGTGAATACTGCATTAGATCAGATGAGGGGAAGAACTGCTCAAAAAGGAATATATGGATGACAACAATGTGGAACAAGGGGTGCATTGTGGGCAGAGCTGTGGGAGGGGAGGAAAATGGGGGGAAGAAAATGTGCAACAATAAGAAAAAATAAAACATAAAAATTATTTTTAAAAAATTAATGCATCCAAGGAAGCCACATGAGGTAATTGCACCCTTTCACACAAGGCTTCTGTGAGTTTGCATTGATTTGATGACCCAGGCCACTATGAAAGCTAGCCTCAAATCTACACCTCATGTTTGTCATTTCATTTTAACATCTTCCATCTTTTTCTACTCCAGATGAGGCGGTCTTCTGTTTCTCATTTAATACAGCTTTTTCTCTCTGGCTAATGAGTTCATTTCGTCAGTACACAAGGCTAAAGGCTCAAGACTACTATTTCCTTGCCACACTGAGGGAAGCTCTTTCATCCTTGGACACAGACGAGACCTCAAGTACTGGCCAAGTATAAATACCATATAAATACCTGCAACTACTCCTAAGACAGAATGAGTAGATGGCTCAGCATCAGCAGAGCATCCCTCCTGGGGAAGTAACCCAAGGTACACATGGTAAAGGCAGTGCACCATTTTTATTTATGCAGGAAACTAATTTAGGAAT